GAAAAAAAAATATAATTTTATAAATTATCTTAAATAAAATAAATAATAATAATAATAATAATAAATATTTTATAAATTATATCAAATAAAATAAGTAGCAATCAAAAGAATGAGACTCAAATTTGATAGATAAAAAATTTTAATCAAAACATTATAAGGACAAAACAAATAACAATTATAAAAATAAGGATCAAAGTTAATATAAAAATTAAATTTTAAGGGATTAAATTTAAAAATAAATATTCAAAATAATATATATATATATATATATAGCAATCAAAATTTTAAAGATCAAATTTGATATAATAAGTAAATAATATGATATTTCTAAATTTTTCATAATTTCTAAAAAATGTCTTCAACCTAAAATAAAAAGGAAATATTTTCTTGAAAACTAATTTAAATTTTTTTTACTAGAAAATATTTTTCATTGACCAGAAAGTATTTTTCATTGATTAATTTTTCTAAAGGCAAACAAACACATGAAAGTTTAAAAAGTGATTTCTCGGAAACCACTTTTCGAGCAACAAATGCCTCCTTAGACAAATTTAGATTAGGATTCATTGAGTTTGGGTGATATTGTCATTCCAAACTGAAATGCTAAGGATGGGGTCTAGGGTTTAGAAATCATATTTTTTTAATTTATAGTATTTTTATTTTTTTTTATCAGAATCAATTTGGGTATTTAAATTTCAACTTTATGAAATGAAACTAAACTAAATTTTTTTTAGAAATTATTAATTATTTCTTTATCACAGTTTTGTTTTTTATTTAATCAATTTTTTAATTTTTTTTAGTTTAATTGGTTTTTTGATATTTTCCTCATCACATGGAAAATGAATCTCATAAACCTAGCCTAAAGTAGAAGTTTTATGGATGATAACATCTTCTTTCTAGCATTGTTAGTTTTTTGTTATAGAATCTCTGCATATCAGTTAAAATTTTTAGTGAGTATAATATTTAAAAGATCAATACAGAGTCATATCTATATTTTAGGATTAATTTTAGATTGGGTAGAGTAAGATTCACACCCTACCCCAACTTGACTTTTTCATTCAAGTACATTTGAATCGATATCTATCGAATTTGGGTGAAATTATCATCCTTAATTAGAATGTTAGGGATGGGATTAAGGTTTAGAAAGCAAATCTTTTTAAATTATAGTACCTTTTTTTTTATCTGAATCAGTTTTGAATTTTGCTTTATAAAACCAAAATCAAATCAAATTTTCTTTAAAAAATTATAATCAGTGTTTTTTATCACGGTTTAAAATTTTCTGTTTAATCAATTTTCTAATTTTCCTATTTAATCAATTTTTCAATTTATTCAGTTTTTCGATATTATCCATGCCCATTGAAGATGCCGGAAAATGCATCGCATATGATTTTAAATCTTGTATAGGTTCTTGTAGAGAACATGTTATCATCTGGATCGTCTGAAAACAAGAACTGTGATCCTGGAGACATTTGTTTCCCCCGCAAGTGCCCCGTTTGTGATGCAATTTTCAAGTTCCATTAATTGTTTCAATGCTTGCTTTAGAGAAGCCTTCTTAGTATGATCAAATGTCAGCATAAAGAGGCTTCCTTGGATTGGAACTCAATTTCAAAACCTAAAAATTCAATGGTAGGAGGTTCCGATCAAATTTTGAAGTTGCCCGATACTGTTTCAGGAACAAAACCTTGATCAAATTTCTAAACCATAGATTCTGTTCAAATTGTAAAACCATTCTTCAGATGCGCCACCATCGGGGGAATATTGACTTGATGCAAAAATAGTTTGAATTGGAAAAGGGCTACAATCCCGCAATGGTGGTAATCTATTGGATAATTAAACAAGCTCATATTTACCACCAATTTGTTTCGAAAGTCATCAATGATTTTTCTAGGCATCTGTATATGCTAATTGCTAGTTGCTAGTTGCTATGCAGCAAGGCAGGTTAGATCATATGGATGAAGGTTGTGCCTTAACTCTGCCGTTAAACACGAGATAGTTCATCTTGGGTCCACAATCTATGAGATATTTGAGATTTAGCATTACTTGTTCACTTGGACTCGTTACAAGCATTTGAAAATTGAAACCATAATTCAGTTTGGTAGAGAAAATAGACAGCTGACTTTTCTTTATTTTTTTTTTACTGAAAAGAAAAGAGCTTCAAGGTAGTTAGTGGAGTCCACCACCGCACAGACATTGCTCTATGCCACCTGCTGAATCAGCTACAACTATGGCTACTAAAACGGCAGAGCAACCAACTGGTGGTGATATTTGTAGATAGCGTGCATAAGATTCACTACATCTGCAAACCTGCGTTGCCCTTGTCTAGAGCCACAATATAACGCCCTTTAAAAACTAATCCCTTCTCTAAGGTCAGGCTGGGAATGTATTTGACAATTTTCATGAAAGGATGATGGTATCAAGCTAAACTGAAAAAAGGTTTTCAATGGCGAAGCCGCCACAGAGTTGAAAACCCATAAAAGCAAGTTATTTTCATAAGCATTAAGTCCCGGAAATGATGCTTGGGCATAGTTTTCATGGCTGAAGTTGTACCATATGATTGAGTTGATAATTTTAGAAAAAGGTAAATAAAAGTTCCTGTACATTTCTAATTTTACAATAATGAAAGAAAAAGGAGAGTAAAATAGAGCCATTCTTTATTCATGAAAATCAATCCCCTTAGTTTGTGTTTTTCATAAAGAATGGCGAGACCTTTTCCTGAGCTTTCTATGAAAAGGCCTGCAAGCTACAATGCTAAGATCAACTACAACTGCAAGTGCCATAAAGATTGCAGCATCCTCCACATATGTTACATGTCACATGGCCAACTGAACCAATGGCTTGTTGTGCTTCCTTTCCCCTCCACTCGACAGCTCATAACAAAACCACCAATAATAGGACCAAGTCCTGAAAAATCTCCCCTACTTTGTGGGCTTGGTATTGGAGTTGCTGTAGTTCGCAACTGCCTGTCAGTGTTTATGAAAAATTTCGTACCCTTTTCAGCACTGATGAGGATCTCAGACATAAGAACCTCACCACCTTCCTAGCCTTCAGACAGGAGGTGAAATCTGCAGCAAATGGAGTCTCTGATGCCACATTCACGCCATACCTCAAGCTTTCCCCATGGCTGCCACCTGTCAGGCTTGCAAGCATCTGGAAAAACAATCAACCAAGCTCTTGGGTTGGACCTAGCAACCCAATCACAACCTGTTGCTGGCACAAAGGGAGTTGTTATGAAGGTTGTTGCAATAGTCGAGCTAGAAAGATCATGTAGCTTCACCTTCCATCCCTTCCGTTCTCTTCTTTTTGTTTCAACATCAGCACCATCATCGAAAATTGACCAATACGTACTCAAGGGATCTACCCGGGTTAGCCTGTCAATTCATAACCATCAAAAGTTTCATTAACGATGACCTAATAATTATAATAATGGCAGGGGCATCATGTTAAGTTGTTGGACCACTAAACTACAAAGAAACTAATAACGAACCAGAGTGCACAATGAGACAGTTGTCACGGAAAAGAATTGCTCCTTAAATGCTTCACGAGACTCAAATATGGTATAAGAGAAACTACAGCTACTTCTGTTTTTTTTTTTTCCTTTCTTTTTCCCTCTCATCTCAAGTTCTTTATAGTACATATGGACTGTGCATAGACAAAGTTGTACTGGCTACAGAAATTCAATTAAGAATTAGCTCCAAAAATCATTGTAACCAAAGGAATGTGAAAATCTTAGCAATCTAGGAAATCTAATGCAAGATAAGCAATTGACAAACATTATGTAAGAAGTGACCACATAATTCTCATATCACTTGTCTCGACTAAATTTGCAGCTGAATATGGGCTGCTTGATTGAGTCCTGCAGCTGAACAATCTGAGGACTCGATGTGGTCACATCTTCAAACTGGAACACATATCTTGGTTCAGGACCTAGTTTCACTCTCAAATGAAGTTCAGCTCCAGGTTTTCCAGTCTCCTTCTTGTTTTTGCCAATACCTATCCAGCCACTAAAAAGAATTTCCCCTCACCCCATTTAGGGCCTACTTCCAGCTTAAATGTTCCTATCTACTGCCTTTTGATGCCAACACCACAATGTGATCCTTTTCTCCCTATGAAAACAGCAATCTCAAGACATGCCTGATTAGCATAAAAACAGCCAGGTGTCAGTAATGCTTTCAGATCCGATTCTTCAAGATAAAAATTTGAGGCAATGCTGTGAATTTCAAGTGCCATTTCAGGTGAGGATAATAAAGGGACCACTATTATTTGCACAAGGAAACCTCGAAGTCATATCTCACATGAACATGGAGAAGAGAATGCTTGGAGCCTAGATTGTGCAGAACTTAAAGTTTTTCCAGAAATTCTCAGCCTAAAGGAGCCTATTGACAACCTGATGAAAGCCTGAGGATCCATTATGGTCACAAATCTTTCTCTATTGGATCGAAAGCTCTATGCATAGCCAGTTTAGGTATTCTGTCACAGTAGATAAGTAACAATCAATCTCATTCTGAGAATAAAACACAGTTAGTTAATTCTAGAGATAATTGAATGTTATCATTTTATTAAAAAACAGTTTAGTTCTACTGGTGCTGCACTTTATATTATCAGTCATGCACAAAGATATCTTATTATAAGCTCAATAAGGCTATTCAAAAAGACTTTTTTCAATATTCTGGAATTTGTCAATTATTGATGTTCAATGAGTAGGACAACAATCCACATGCTGCATGGAATGCAATCTTAATACATCACAAAAAAGGAAGAATGGGCACTTATCATTTGGGATTACCAAGCCTCAGCTAACATGCATGGAAAAAGATAGACAATTCAAGAAGACAAAAAAATTAATACTTTAAAACCAAGAATAGAAGATCCTAAATGCATAATGGAACCAAAATATCAAACCATGATAGATCTGAAATATCAAATATTCATATTAAAGCAAATTTCAAATTTGTAAGTAAATGAATATTCAAGTCTTCTGGTTAATGCAATTCTTCTATATTTTAATGTTCATTATATTAGTCTAGAAAGAGCACCTGCGAGAAGTTATGCTGAAGCTTGATTTTCATCAGAAAGGCCTAAGGAGCTCAGTAAAAAAACATAATGAATATAGGCCCAAAAAAAACTAACATTTTACAAACAAACAAGACCAATCTAAAAATCCAGAAAAGTTAGGATTTCCATCTACTATCACATATACTTTTAAATTGTCAAAACTAGATTAAAAAAAAAAAGCATAGACAAGGTAAAGCAACATGGCAACCCTACATTGGAAGTTTCAAGCTTAAATCAATAAATAAAAACATATGGCGGAACACCATGTATGGTGTGACCCATTATCTATTTTATTTTGTGCTTTTATCTGATTCACATAAAAACTTGAGAAAGATGACAAGCATATAAATGGCAATGATCCAGTTGGAATCTAATTCATTCCCCAGGAAATTGATATAATCCAATCACACTTGCAACAAAACAGAGAGAAGAACTGTCAATTGCTAGTGCCATATTAGATTTTCTTAAACTTGGTGAAGTATTGACTAAGATTTCGCTTCAATGGGAAGATCACAAAATCTTCCGATCATTAAAGAGTTCCCAACATTTTATCCTGCTAAGCTCCAAGACTCATATTCCAGCTATTGTATGCAGAATCAGCAAGCTAAAATTTGCTTTCTCAAACTCTACCATCACATGATCATAGTAGTTTCAAAAACAATAAAAATGTCAAATCTAAATGCCAAAAGTTGGAGCGAAAGACTTACAAGCTTATCCTGCATAACATTTGTCATTTGTTTTCATGGTATGCAAATACCCTCTTGAAGAATGAGGTAGGATTTTATTCTAAATAAAACATGTCTAACGAGTTGCATGGGATAACTGAACTCATAATACATATAATTGACACACTTTGTCATAATGTTTTGATGCAAATAGTGATCCTGAGGTATTTCAAAAGTTTATTTCACTAATCATGATCGAACTTCTAAAGCAAAACATCCTCATCACCTAATCTCATTTGAACATTAAATTCAATTTGTTAAGCTCTCCACATCTACCTCCTTGAAAACAGGAGGGAGGGAGCAGAAACCAGGATTTGCAATTTGATGATTCAGGGTCTTCAAAATTTAAAAATAAACCTCAGCCAAAACCACGAAAAGCTGAGTTCACACATTCAAGTCTTAGCACGTAAACCTTAACTCAATTCCTTTGCTCCTGTAATTCTAACCCATTAAATTATATCAACAGTAAACTTATACATCGAAAACTCCAAACAAATATAAGTGGAAAATTGGGTAACCCACCAACATAATCCCACCTAACGTGGCCAAAATTCGCATCATCACATAAGTACTTAAGCAAAGCCAAACACACAAGATCATGGAAAGATAAAAAAGCTGAGCCACCATAACTAAAACACATACAAACAAAGCACAAACCATAACAACATGTATATAACAAGTAGCACAACATATAGTACATGCAACAAAGAAAAAAAGAAAGACCCACCTGAACATTCTTACTTGAAACAGCTCCAGGTGAGCAAGAAACCTGTTTATGAAAACAGGATTAGCAGAGACATACAAAAAAAAATTTTGAAAGGACTCCCACAATACCCTGTATCCAAAAGGACCAAATTTTTATGAAAAAAAAAAAGCTCCTTTTCTCTCTCTATTTCCAAAAAGGCTTCTTCTCTTTTTTCCTCTCTCACTCAAAAAGGCTAACAAGAGTGTAACTTTTTTTATATTACTATTATTAGACCATGTCCGGTGGATTAAAAAAAAAAGAAAAAAACAATAACAGCTAGGATGGGAATAGAACAAAGAACAACAATAACAATAAGGCAAACTGAGATTTCATGAAGACTATGCACGGATCACGAGGTAACAAACCATGTACAACAGTCATTTCCCTGCCCCTGATTAATACTTAAAAGTACATTCTCATTAAGGATTTATGTCATCATATTGCACCTAAAGTATCATTAAATTCCCTAACAAAAACATGTTTTATATTAGCAAGTCTAAAAATATAATATACCTTTAATTCATGGTAAATGTTCATCCTAAATGCAGGTCTATCACATAAATAAAAGGATTGATTGATGAGTTTAAGGATTGAAATTGAAAGGATAAAAAGAAGGCCAAACTTAGCAAAGTGTTGCTGGTGCATTCCAAACTCGAACACCGTTCAGTAATTTGATCATATCTGGAGCTGTAGATATCAGATTTAGGTCCATTTTATATCGATGGAAAGGTAAGACATAGACCTACAACTTTCATATGAAGTCAAAGACTCAGTTCTGCCGTTTTCAAGCCCAAATCTTAGCAACAACGAAGACGTCGGAAGCTGTCCTGCAGCTCAAGCACTATTCGGTTTTTGGCTCATATCTTGAGTTCTAGAAGTCCAAATGAGCTCTGGTTTTTTTTGATGGAAAGCTGAGACAATTGCCCACAGATTCCACAATTCAGTTGGCTATAATTCTGATGTGAGCAATGACGTTTTGGCCAGCCAACAATATCAAAAATCAGCCCACAATATCAAAAAACCAGCAGCCATTAATGTCAAAAACCAGCCACCAAATCAATGGATGCCCACCAATTCTTCAATCAATCAATAGTTCTGAAACTTAGCCTATAAAAGGAGGCATTGTCCATGTATTTAGTCATATTAATTTTCAGATCAAAGTTATCTTCTTGCTTTCTCTCTACATCTTTGTAATGTTCAAGTTTTCTTTTATGCTATAGTAATCTCTTGTTTATGCTCTTTCATTTCCTTTCCTATACTTAGTTAGCTTATATTATGTTTATGTTCTTATATTGTTTATTTGTGTTTTTCTCCTTCTTAATGTTTAGCTAAGTTAATTATGTCAAGGTGAAAAGGTTTCTCTAATGGTGTTAGAATAGGTATAATATAAACTCAACATGAGCTTTAAATGTTTATATCCAAGAAAGATTGTTATTAACATGTTTTATCTTTTTATCTTACTAATTCTTAATACCTTGCTTATTAAATGTTTAATTTAGATTTGTGTTGTATAATATTTGGTACATCAAATGCTTGATCTTTCATAGTTTTCGGCCGAAATCGTTATTATGATAGAAACTTGATTTGTTGTTAACATAAACTAGCAACATGAATGCTTGATGATATTTATAAGTATGGTATTACTTATATAAGATAATTAATATGATCATGTTAGTAATTTATAATGAGCTAATAACGAGAAATCATCCGATTAGAACCTCCTTTGTGTGTGGTTTCTAGTTGAGTAATAAAAAGAGTTTATATTATATTTATTTGAAATACCATTAGTGAATCCTATAACCTTGACATATGTTTTGTTATTGTTTAATCCTTACATCAATATCACATCCCAAAACTTTCTTCAACTCCTTTTCTGTTATTATTCTCTTTAAATCTTTTTCTTTATTTGTAATTTATATAATTCACCTCCCTGTGGTTCGACCCCGGTCTTGCCGGGTTATTTTACTTTGACACTCCTGCACTTGGGATAAGACATCAACTCTTTGATCGTGTCAAGTTTTTGGCGCCGTTGCCGGGGAGGTAAGTTATTGTATAAATTAAATATTTTATTTTATTTTATTTTCACTTTTATTTGTTTTTCTAATTGTTGTTTCTTTTTCTTTTTCTTTTTCTTTTTTCTTTTCTTTTCTTTTGTATTTGCATGAGAGTTTGGACACGTACATTAAGTGGTAGACTTTCTAGAAAATCATCATTTTCTTTAGAAAACATGGCCGAAGAAGATAACCAATCAATTCATAATGAGAATAATGAGAATAATCGTGTTAGAACACTTAGAGATCATATGAATCCAACAAGAACAAGTGCACCATCATGTATTGTTTTTCCTCCTGATGCATCTCATTTTAATTTTAAGCCAGGTATTATTCAACTTTTACCCACTTTTCATGGCTTAGAATTAGAAAATCCATACTTGCACTTAAGAGAATTTGAAGAAGTTTGTAACACTTATAATGACTTAAATTGTAGCATGAACACCATCAGATTAAAGCTTTTTCCTTTTTCGTTAAAAGATAAAGCTAAAACATGGCTACAAAATATTAGGTCAGGATCCATTCATGCTTGGGATGAAATGCAACAACAGTTTTTAAAGAAATTTTTCCCTTCTCATAGAACAAACTCTTTCAAAAGACAAATCACCACTTTTACTCAAAAACCAGGAGAAACATTTTATAAATGTTGGGATAGATATAAAGACTTGCTTAATACCTGTCCTCATCATGGTTTTGAAACATGGAGATTGGTTTCACAATTTTATGAAGGGTTAACACCTAAAGATAGGCAAATGGTGGAATTGATGTGCAATGGAACTTTTGAAAATAAAGACCCTAATGAAGCAATGGAGTACCTAGAGTTGCTAGCTGAAAATGCTCAAAATTGGGACACCACAGGTACTTGTGAGGCACCAGGTAAAACTCAACCTCATACATCTAATGGAGGCATGTATAGCCTTAGGGAAGATCATGACCTCCAAGCCAAATTTGCATCTTTAGCTAGAAAAGTTGAGGCACTAGAATTAAAAAAGAGTGGTCAATTAAAATCTGTTCAAGAAATTGTGTGTCAAATTTGTGAAACCAATGAACACTCAACCAATGATTGTCCCACGTTGCCTTCTTTTAAGGAATGTCTCCATGAACAAGCCAATGCTTTAAATAGTTTCCAAAGACCAAGTCATAACCCGTACTCACAAACGTACAACCCTGGTTGGAGAAATCACCCAAATTTCAGTTGGAAGAGTGGTAACAATAATGCACAAACTTCACACCCACCATTTCAAACACAACATAATTTTCAAAATTCTCATGGATATGCACCTCCTTATATTCCCCCTCCTAGAAGAAATCTTGAGGAAACATTACATGCATTCATTGAAAAGCAAGAGACAATCAACACTCAAAATGCTCAAACCATGGCTGATTTGAAAGATACTCTTGCAAAGTTCACATCTGCTCTCAGTTTTCAGGAGAAAGGTAAGTTTCCATCTCAACCCCAGCAAAATCCCAAAGGGCAATACAATTCAAGTACAAGCAGTTCTGGAAGCCAACATCTGGATCAAGTCAAATCAGTCACTACTCTCCGCAGTGGTAAGGTTATTAAAAAACCTATTCTTGAACCTTGTGAGAAAGAAGATGAGTTAGTCTCCAAGGGTAAGGAAATGGTTGAACCTGATCATTGCAAGGAAGAGACTGATTCCCCACCAGCACTTCCATTTCCTCATGCCATGACCAAACAAAGGAAAGTCAATCACAATTCTGAAATCTTTGAAACTTTCAAACAGGTAAGGATTAATATACCTTTGCTAGATGCTATTAAACAGGTACCATCTTATGCTAAATTTTTGAAAGATCTATGCACTGTAAAGAGAAAATTGAATGTGAAAAAGAAAGCCTTCTTAGCCGAACAAGTAAGTGCCATTCTTCAGAACAATAATGCTTTGAAATATAAAGACCCTGGTTGTCCTACAATTTCTTGCTTTATTGGAGAACATAAAATTGACAGAGCTTTACTTGATCTTGGAGCTAGTGTGAATTTACTTCCATATTCGGTTTTTCAAAGTCTAAATCTCGGTGAGTTAAAACCTACTTCTGTTACTCTTTTACTTGCTGATAGATCTATAAAAATGCCTAGAGGAATAGTTGAAGATGTGTTAGTACAAGTTGATAAATTCATCTTTCCTGTGGATTTTATTGTCTTGGATACACAACCTGTTGAAGCATGCAATTCAATTCCTGTTATTTTAGGACGTCCATTTCTTGCAACTTCTAATGCATTGATTAATTGTAGGAATGGAGTGATGAAGTTATCTTTTGGAAACATGACATTAAAAATGAATGTTTTTAACATTTGCAAGCAACCTGGAGATGATAATGATTTACAGGAAGTAGATTTTATTGAAAAAATAATTTACGATCAATTTGAAAATTCTTCCAATGAAATTGAGTTTAATGAATCTGAAGATTTGCAAATGGTTTGTTTTCAGGAAGAATCAAAGGCAAATATTTGGAGACCAAAAATTGAGGAATTGCCACCACGATCAATTGGGTCCATACCTTCAAGTGTTCAACCACCAAAACCCGATTTGAAGCCATTACCATGTAATCTCAAATACTCATTTTTGGGAGAAAATGAAACTTTTCCGGTAATAATTTCTTCCAAACTTAATGTTCATCAAGAAGGTAAGTTATTACAAACTCTGAAAATGCACAAAAATGCATTAGGATGGACCATAGCTGACATAAAAGGAATTAGTCCTTTGATTTGCACACACAAGATTTATTTGGAGGAAAATGCTAAACCCTCTAGAGAAATGCAACGAAGGCTTAATCCTAATATGAAAGAAGTAGTGAGGAATGAAGTCATTAAACTTCTAGATAATGGAATCATTTATCCTATTTCTGATAGCAAATGGGTAAGTCCTACCCAAGTTGTACCTAAAAAGTCTGGAGTTACTGTGATAACAAATGAGAAAAATGAGTTAATTCCAACGAGGACTATTACTGGTTGGCGCATGTGCATTGACTATAGGAAACTCAATTCAATGACTAGAAAAGATCACTTTCCTTTACCTTTCATGGATCAAATTCTAGAAAGAGTTGCAGGTCATGAATTTTATTGTTTTCTAGATGGTTATTCAGGTTACAACCAAATTGAAATTGCATTTG